TATTTTGATTATTAAGTTCTTATTGTCTATTTCCATTTATATCTCGTGTACCTATCAAATAAGACAATGCAAGACTATATAAGTTGTTTTGTTTGGAAAAAAATGTAATAGCAAATACACTCAATGAGGCGCTTTGCTTTGAATATCTACTGGAAGTCAATTTCATTCCAGACCTCAAGTGGAATTCATGTATACAGTCCATCACTAAAGATGTTGGAAAAATGCTCCAGAAAATACCTAATGCCTTCTATCATGCTATATGAGCCAAATCCGACCAAAAATTAAGTATTGTTAACACATCTGGGCTGGAGCTGACCAGTCCTCATTTTCCAGTTTTAACACAGTTCAAAAAATTGTTTACGTAGCCTTGTGAGAGAAAACATTTTTCACCCTACATCTCCTCTCTCTTAGATGCTACTTCCATGGCAAATGTTCAGACCATAGTAGCCAAAGACCCACCTTGCTATATCCACAGATTTGAATCAACCTTATTCCCTATATATTACTTTGGTAATAAGGGTATTTCAATCTGAAAGTTTCTTCTGAAGAACTGCTATTTTTATGGAACAGACTCCTGTATGGATGCTTCCCGGAACATTACAATCGTAACCTCTTCAAATCTTGGGTCACTCATTATTTATCCACTCTATCCTCATAATATCCAGTTCCTACTTCCACTCATGTTCATATCACACACATTATTCAGTAACCCTCTACTTTGAGAGGCTCTTGGGTGAAATTTAGTAAAAAAAAAAAAAAAAACATTATTGGGCACTCTTGTAAGTATCATTAGCATCTCTCCATTGTGCTAAAGAAGGAAGCTAATGGGTTCCTCTGATACTTTTGCAGCATAGTCTGCATAAAATTGGACAGTTTTTGTCTTGACCCACACAGGCATGTGGAACCTTTATATTAATCAGATACTGTTGTAGTTTCTGTTGTGATATTGTTAAAGCTATAGAAAAGTGACGATCTTTTAATTTCAGTTTTGTTTTGTTTCGTTTTTTTAATTTACATTTCATGGCAAATAAGCGGTACAAATTGTGGATGGGGAACTGCAAAAATAAAATCAAAGATAAACTAGTCTTAAATTAATAAATATGAATACTTTTATGTAAGATATATAGACAAATAATTTTTTTCACCTTTTTCATATTGTGAAGAAATATGAAAGCTTATAGCAATAATTAGTGTCTTGCCTCATTGACTATTTCATTGTTTTTTATACTTCTCTCTCTCAAAATCTCTGATGTGGGGATTTAATACTGGTAAATAATTTCCATATTAGAAATTTAATAGTGAATGCAATGTTTTATCCATTGTGCATATGGTGAATGCACTCATTTTGAACAGTACCTTCTGTTTTCATTCATTTATTTTACATTTACTTGGCTTTTAACTAATAATCTAGAACATGGACTTTTATTTAACCAGTCTTTGGATTAGAATCTCTTTTTGCTAACATCCTTATCCTTCCCTTTTGGAGGTTGTTGCTTGTACCTTGAATTTCATTAGATAAATTAACGTTAGATGTTGTTTAATAGTTTCATTCCCTACTATCTTTTTTATTAGATATTTTCATTGAGATTTTCTAACACCTTCAACTTTGAGTGAAATTAACAATAAGGTTATTGCAATTGAGAGGCATTGGAAAAGAATGCAGTGCAAAGGGAAGTAATATTAATAATGCAGAGTGCTAAAGGTTAAATCACATCATTGATAAAGTTTAGTCAGATATAATGAGTATTATCTGTTTCTCTAATTTTCCTAATTTGTGTAAGTATAGTAGATCAAATCAAATATTTGTTTCATACAATTGCCATCAGACTTCTACATTTGTTAGATCTTGTATTTTAAGTTAATTGTATGGAATTAAAATATTCCCAAATAGACATTACAATAGATACAACAAAATCTAAAAGACAGAAAATTGCAATTTCTGAAACTCTAAGAGAAAACATTTGAATTAAATGGAACTATTAGCTTCATCTTTCAATCCTTATGATTTTGCATGTGCTTTCCAGTTCGTCTTAAGGTCATGGACAGTCTAGCATTTGATAATCTTCAAGAAACTAGGGTTTGGCTGTTTTGATATAATCTTTGGTTGAAATACTTGCTAAATATTAAAAATAATTGGTTGATATCATAAAATGGTCTGCAACAAGATTTTCATATTGGTGTGTGCATGTGAGCATAATTTCTTTGTCCTTATTTTCTTTTCTGCTGTCAAGTTTTCTTCAAGGTTATATATACTAGCCAGATACCTGTCCTACCAATAGATAAAATTAAGCTATAATGGAAGTTCTCTTACTGCTATAAAATTTCTGTATAAACATCATTTTGAACAAGACCTCTATTTTCTAAAGTTTTTTTTTTTTTTTTGTCCATTATGTTCTGTTCACTTTTTCTTAATCTAGATATGTGGCTGAATAGAACTGATCATGACAGAAACTGAACAATTTTCTGACATTATTATAATAAAATGAATTCTGTTAACCTACTTTTTCACTTGTTTAAATAGTTTGGTACAGTTTTTAAGAAAATTTAATTAAACTGATTTATTTTGACTTGTTCAGATAATTTTGCATTTAACAATAGGGGCTGTTTTGTTCTACACACAGACAAAATTTAACCTTATGCAAATTTATAAAAGATGGTTTATGGGTAGTGTAATGGTTAGTGGCTTTGAAAGGGAAATTGGTGAGACAAGTTCAAATCTGTCTGAGCTTATGTTCACTTTTGCACAAATACCCTTGGGAAAGGTATGAATCATCAGTCCACCTCAGCTATAGGTTAGATAACAGGGTAGATTGGGCTCTAGCTATGGTTGGTAACCAGTTTAGGATAAGGACAACTTCAAAAACAAGACCATCATGAAAAAGGATGGGATTCATCAAGTTATTTTGCTTTGGATGCACCACTGCTGTTATAGCTGCAGTACATGCATTGTCCCTATGACCCTACTGAGTTGCTGGACTCATGAGATTAAATTCCAGTAAAGCATCGATTGACCACAACTGTCAGTTTCATGTGCAGCATGCAATCTTCAGGCAGTCAGTGTCTGTGATTGAAAATAGGTACCTCTACCCTTCTTGGTGTGAAACCATAAGTAAATTTATTTTAGAATTACTTATTTCCCTTCCTTTTAATATATATATATATATATATATATATATATATATATATATATCTTCCTCTTTCCTTTCTCTCCTTTTTTATCTGGGCTAGAATATATGTAAAGATCTATAACTTTATAGGGAGATGAAATTGAGTTGTTTATTGTTTTTCTATAAAATATTCTATGGTGTTACAATGGTTTAAACTTGATGTTTTCTTTTATTAGTGTTGTTTTTAATGTGGAGATTTTATCTGTAAGATTTTTTTTTAATCATCTTCAGGTAATGTAAGAAATAACAACTGCTTTTACACTAATTAAACACCACCACCCAAAAGACTAATTGAACATAGTAGTATTGTATAAGAAAATTCACAGCAAAATACAGAATGATATACAACTTTGGCTGCAGGCAATATTGGATAAGAATGTTATGCTTCTGTTTTTAATTATCACTCCATCTTAATTGAAAAGGAAGCAAAGTCTCAAGAAAGTTTGTCATTTTTCCTTGCATTTACTTGACTTTTTTTGAGACTTAAACAGAAAGAAATCACTTTACACATTTCTACAACCTCTAGTCAAATATTTTTTGAATTGAAAAAAAATGATAAATTGACTTATTTGTAGGTGATTACTAAACATATATTTTCATGTTAGTTCACTACTGTACTGCTAGCTTTCATTAAATATATGCATTCCATGTATTATAGACCATGAAATTTAAACTCACTGACTCATGTATGAAAAAAGTCAATTCCAAATTTGATAACCTCTAGACATTAACCATCTAAACCTGTCAGATATATTTAAAAAAAACAAAAAACTATCAAATTGTTTTCAAGTTGTACAGAGAATACCCTGTTTATATGTCAATTTAAGGTTTTCCTTGTAATAAGATTCAGTTTAATGTTAGGCAGGTGTAAGTTTTAGTTATGAACTTTTTTACCAATTTTATTTTGTATTTTAATAAAAAAGCATAATTATTGTATTCAAATTTCTTTTTATGCCACTGATAACTCTGGTTAGAAGCTAGAGGTTAACATCATTAATGATTTAGTTCATATATTCTTGATGTCAGTTTAAACTGATGTTTTCACTTGAAGTATAATTATAAATATAATTTGGGAATGTAAAATTTTAACTGGAATATGTTGAAAATACTTAAATTTGCATGTCAGATAAATGCCAGTTGTTATGAGGAAGAAAACTTGATTATGTCTATTGGCATAGGTTACCTATTCGAGTTGACATTTATATTTTATATAACATATACAGTGTCTTGTTGGTTTCATGTTTTTTCTCTTAATGTATCACAGTAAAACCTTATCAGTAGTTTGAAAAATATAATTTAGTATATTTAAAACAAATACAGAAGCAAGACCTTTGTGTTATTTGGAAAACATTAAAATATGCAGACTTCATGCTAAAGATATGGTACTTTGGTATTAAATGACCCATGTAATTTGATGCATCAGAAAATCCTCTCCTGACAAATGTGGAATATAATACAAACTAGTAATAACTGAACAAAAGACAGGCTAACTGATAATAAAACAATTCTTTCTGTGACTTTAATATCATTGTTACAAGAGAGAATTGTTTACTTTTATTGCATTCTGTAGGACACATAGATGTCTATATCCTCCAAATAAGTTTCATATACTTTACACACTAATTATTCACATGAGGATATAGATTAAAATTTCCATGTCCTTTATACAGATCTAAAATACATTATAAAAATATATATATATATATCCTCAATACAATCCTCCATAACTTGAAGAAAATACTTATTTGAACCAGCTTACAATATCAGTAATTTTATAACTGTAATGTATTTCTTCAGAATGCTTACTAGTTCAAATTCCAGCTTTAGTTACATATGGCCACATCATATTGAAACCCTAGTTCCTGTACAATCACTGAAGTTAAGCAACATTGAGCCTGGTCAGTACATTGGGTGACCACTTGAGAATACCAGGTGCTGCAAGCTTGAAAGTGCAGGTAGTGTAATGGATAATGGCTCAGAGTTGGAAATTGGTGAGCAGAGTTCAAATTCCAGTTAGATTTATTATATTCACTTATGTGCATATAACCTTGGGAAAGGTATGAATACTTGTATCATTAAATCATTATCAAAAAAAAAAAAAAAAAATTCTTACAATATTTTTTGGCTTTAGATAACCTGTAAAAGATTGATGAGCTGTAGAAAATGAATTGATGCATTAGTTATGTTTTCTTTATACTTGGTTCAAGTAGAAATAAACTTTTGCTTGTATTAATCCATGTCCTCCTGGCATCAGTTTAAACTGATGCCTTACTTTTTCTCTATATATTGGAACCATTTTGCTTAAATTTTATATTTTCTTGATTTCGGTTCAAAATTTGGATTTTTCCAACATATTTCAGTGAAATTTTCATTTTCCATAATTAGTTTATAATTATGGTTTTGATGTTTAGAAAGAAGACATTTGTTTAAATGGAAGCCAGGTGGATACAAGTTAAAAGAATTGCTTACTGCTACATGTCTCATGTTGATATGCTAAAAATGTTAGGTGAAGTTTTCTACATTCAACCCTATCAATCACTTCAATTTTATTAAGCCTTCTTGTTCCTATTTTTGTATACTTTTCCTCTATTAAATAAATGAGAATTGATTTGTGAACCAAAATTAAATGAGGGAAAAATACTTATTTTCAAACCATTATCAATTTCTGCACCATTTGAACAAATGACTATTTGCAAGTGAATTAATTTTGTCATACTATCTAATCTATTAAATAGATTGAATATTTAACTCTTTTGAAACAAAATCATATATGAAGAGTTTATATGTTCTACTTTACCCTTATTTTAAATATTTATTAGCTAAATATATTTCAGTATTTATTTAATTTCTTGAAATGTTACCAACTTCTTTGTTGGATGATTTTTTCTTTTTGCTATCTATAGTTATTTGTTAGACAAAAATACAATTTTAGTACAAAGCCATATGGAACATCCTATGAAAAAACACTTAGCTAAGAATAGCTTACAAAACTCACATGCTAACAATCACTGTCCACCAAGTATTCTTCATATCTATGTAAAATCTTTTTGAGTACCAGATTCTGATTCTTAGTTAACTGTTACCATCCAATTTATTTTACTTTTGTATATATAAGTAGTTAAACATCTTTTATTTATTTGAAGAAGTGAATTTAATGACATAAACAAGAAAAAAAACTGAATTTTTAATGAAAATAACCTTGACACTAGGTACAATTGTCCTAACTTAGAATTACTTATTCAAGATAAGTTTGTGGAAAAGAGTTCTAGAATAAGCATAATTATTTTAATTGTTATCTAATAGCAAAAAATTGTTAATTCATCTTTTTTTTTCTTTCCTTTTATGTATGTTCATTTTTTTTCTTTCAAATTTCATATCTCTTATGCAAAAACAATACACTTTATTTCTCAACTAACACCCAGTAAATACTTTCATAAACCATAAACTGATAACAAATTTTATTTTCTTTCATGCGTGTATGTATTAAGCTAACATGGTCAAATTATGTGTGTCAATGCTTTCAGAATAAAATTGATGGTAAGCAACTGAAACTGATAAAATTTTCAGAATATACATATATTGATATATGTGATGTTCAGCTTTTATTATCTATCTTTATTAAAAACATAACTTTTATTGCAACATAATCATATGTAGGAAAATAATAAAATTTCAAAACAGTCACAGGAGAAACTCTATCTTTAATGGTTACTTTACTAATATTCAATTGATTATCATCTGCATTTGTAGTTTTGACTATTTAAAACAATGTACTACTAGTAGATACTAATTATTATATGTCTTTGCACTTGAAATGGTATACTCATCTTGATTGTTATACACACAGAATTTCTACCATGGTCTATTCTGTAACCTTGTCAGCTTGGTAGTGTAATCATCACTCAGTTTTGTCTCTCTGTCCACAAAGAAGCAGCTAGGATAAAAAAACAAAACAAAAAAAAACTAATGAGAGGTGCCTGGTCCCAAGGAACAGTTGCCCATGGCTGTACTTTGTTGCACTAGAGAGGAGGTATCAGTATCATACTGATACCAGTGCAAGTGACAGTTCCGGGGACTGAGCAATTTTTGACCATGGCCCAGGTGAATGCACTCAGGTTCCTCACATCAAACCCAACCTTGTGTCACATCACATCTCAGTGGGGAAACTGGGTAAATACTACCTTCTCAGAATTTTGAACCAAGAGGGTAGATTGTCTATTCTGTTTTCCATGTTTAGTTGATGTCCTGTGTCAATTAATTTTCTATACTCCTTTCGATTTTTGTGTCATGGGGGGGTCGTTTTTTCACTGGGTCAGAATATGTTTTCTGCACTAAGGCATTGAACTCTCAACTGTCAGGGACCCAGACATATTTTAACCAATGCTTTAATCCTGTAAAGGTTACAAGTATGACATGTACCTGAAGGAAGCTAGAGTTTACAACATCTGAAATGTTAGTATAATAACCAAGATGAGTATACTAGTTCAAGTATAAAGATATAATAATAATTCTTCATCTCAAAAATTCTGACAGAAATTGCTGGTGGATAAATTTTATATCTAATACCAGGTTGATGAAGTTAATTACTTTATAGTCAGTTGGAAAATGGAAACCTGCTCCAACTTGAAAGCAATGAAAAATAATACAAATGTCTTGTTCTAAAGCAGTCTATCATTATTAAAAGATATTTGTTACCCCCTCCCAAATGCACACTTGATTTTTAAGAGGTATGTTATTTAGCCAAGACAAATTTTAGTTTGCACAATAATGTATCTACTACTAGAACAGTGCTAAGTCTGGTTTATTCACACAAGAGACAAAGAAAAACTTGTGCCACAAAAGCTCAGAAATGGCTCTTTTAATGGTATGATGTAGTATAGTTTGGGAGATGGCTGCCAAGAGTTAAGGTTGCAGTTAATTTACTTAAACATAGAGGTCCCTTATCCACATATTTTTTTATTATTATTTTTTATTACTTGTTAGGAATCTTTTAATATGGAAATATGAGTTTAATCTGGTGTTGTGTACGATCACAGTAGTAGGAAACCCATTTAGGATTGAATTCACTAATATTACACCTTATAAGATTAAACCTTTTAACTGTTACTCTGCATCAGTCATTGAGAAGACCTCTGTATATAAGTTGCTTGTGAAGAACTCCATCTCTTTAAGTTTATAATACTTAACCATTTACAGATGGACTGACTAAACACACATTTGTTTACAATTGAATTTAATAATACCAATTGGCTATAGAAGGGTATGTGCTACTAAATCAGCCTGAACGATATTGTTTCTATCTAGCAGTGATATGCTTAGAAATTAGGGATATATTTTCTAAAAAAATTTTATCAGTAGATAATCAAATTTCAAGGCCATAGCAACTATATATAAACGTATAAATTGCCAAAAGGCTGCTCTTTATTCTGAGAAAATAGATCAATTGAACTCCAATGATGACTTGAATTTTGATCCCCTCCCAGCTATGAGCTATATAGCAGGACAGACTGGACTCTCTAGTTATGGTTGGCAACCAGTTTAGGTGAGGAGCAATTCTGAATTCAAAACCATAGTAACGAAATCACAGGTAGCCTTTTGGCAAAGCATAGCACCCAGCAGCCACCTTTGCCAGGGTTATAGTGAAGACATCAGCAACAGGATGTTGGTCAGTGGCAAAATCTTATCCGTTAGAGATCTGCAAAAGCTCCTTCATACTGGACAGTGATGAGATCTAATTATTCCAAGTCAGATGGAAACTGTGAGAACACATAGAGTAACAAACCTTTTGTCTCCTAATATATATGCAATCAAAGCCCCTATGTGGATGTTTTATGTAGCATCTTGACGAATAATCTGGTTAGTTAAACTTTGATAACACTGACAGTAGTAGCCTGTGAGCATATATTATTAATGGCAATACATACTGTTATATTTACCATAAAATTTGTGATTTTCAGCATGTGTATTGTATCTGTTTTCTATGGGAATAACCAAAAACAGATATTCATGAGTACAAATGTCTCTCACAATATCCTGAGCATAATTCTAGCAAAGATTTGGTCTGTGATTGCTAAGTTTATACCTTAAAAAGAACTTAATAAAATATTGCTATAAGATTGCTTAAATTACTAAAATTTTAACAGAATTGCATCAACTCACATTCCTTTGAACTTATTTCAAATTCATGTTAACATTGTGTTAGGTGCTCCTGAATTATAATAGCATATAAATGTCTGTCTGTTTCTCATTATTTATAGTCTGTTGGCAACAGAAATTGACAGTTAATAGTCAATTAACCTGTGGCAGAAATATTTCTAAAATTTGTCTCCTAATGTACAAACAACTTATACCCACAATGCAATTGTTGTGACTTTGTAGGTTGAAATGTTTGTATAGCCAGTTGATTGGTATCTGAACTTGTACAAGTTTTTCACTTTTTATTCTCTTGCTGAATTTGTGCTAATGTTTTTGTATTAATGAACATAAATTCAGTTTTCACACCATATACAAGGGAGTGCTGAAAAATATTCAGCCTGACCCACTTTCCAAAATCTGACAAAATCATCACTTTTTTTTTTTTTTTTTTTTTTTTTATATATATATATATAACAGCTTCTTGGTCAGACTGAGAACTTTTTGGCACTCCCTTTTCTACATATGCTTACTCTAATACAAACACCTACACAAATATTTCATGAAAAGTTAAGTGATTGTACAAAGAAGGAAATACCTGACATAAACCCTCTTTTAAAGAATTGACAAATGTATACATTGGATCAACATGCTTCATGATTTATGTCCTTTGCTAAATATTCTGATTATTTTATAGTAGAAAGAGGAAAATGTTGTCAAATTTAATTTTAGCAAGTTGAAATGTGATAAAAGGCTTTGAAATTGCAACAGCATTTTATTGTTTATTAGAGATAAATTTCTGTGTCTGTT